AATCAGTTCTTGGTTACCACAGTTAACCCATCGCACTCGAAGTCCTTTAAACGGTTAAAAAAATGGACGCAACCACTAACATTTTGAAAGAATTTTTGCAATCTTATCCTATAAAATCCAAGGATCACTGAATGAAGTGGTAACTAAACATTGAGATGAAAATAATTTCACAATTAGATTGGCGGGGAATTTACAGGAGACATTCATATCTCGAGTGGAAAGGTTTAATACATTGGTTCTCAACGGGGGCGGAGGGAGTATGCTCAGGGGCGGTGAACTTGTTTTGGGCGGTAGGGGGTGACGTTGGATACGTTTTGGGTTGTAGGGGGGCGATTAGCATGTTTTGTCATTCAAATTTAGTTTTAAAACTTACAAATAAAATTATAGAATTAAGATTTATTTAATGAATAAAATTAATCTAAAACTAATATTAAAGAAAAAAGATGAAATTAATATAATAAATAAGGATTATCCGATGCACCGTTGTACCAGCTATAAAACGAATTTAAAAGACTCCTTTTCTTCGATCCGAACCACCGCAGCTCAGAGCATGAGTCAGTAGTTTTTGCCTCTGATTGCAAATTGAAGAGCATGCGCTTTCATTATGAATGTTTGACTGGACCCGTGTTTCTTAAGCTTCCTTGCTGTTTTTTGCCCAGTTTCGATTAGATCTCATAGTTTATTTGGCCAGGTACGTGCGCAAATTAGTTCTTTATCATAAATTATTTATTAATTTTGAGAAATAGTTGATTTTCTTTCATCGTCAGTATTTTGCCTACACTATCAATGTCGGTTGACAAAAAGAAGTGTCATCAATACTGTGCCACGTGCTTGAAGTTGGGATTTGTACAATCACTGTTGAACTCTCAACTACCCATGTGTTTACTTTTTAATAAAGTTTTATCTAATGAGGTACTGAAATCATAGCGTTAGCAGCAGCATTTGCAAAAAACTTATGATTTGTTATTTTTCTCAAACACATCTTGTTTCACATTTCTGAAGGCATCTTCGGTCTCAGGGTTACTAGCAACCTCATATCAAAAATGCGACGATGGTTTCATAGCTTCTTATTATATATCAAAATTTATTGCTAAATCTAGGAAAGCTCATACCATCGAAGTAGAGTTGATACTGCCGGTTGTCAAGGAAGTTTAAGAAACTGTTTTACACCAGCCAGCCGCATCCAATGCAATGAAAAAACATCCCATAAGCAACGATTCAGTTCGGGCCGAAAACGTTCAAATTTCTTTATGCAAATTTTTGATATCCATCAAATTTTCCCTTCAAGTTGATGAATCAACCTTGCCAGGTAATGTAGGCTTTACTGTAGGCATAGGTCCGGTTTGTAAAGGTAGGAAACACCCTAGAAGTCCCTCAATGGATTTGTGGGTTTTGAACCCCTTTGTAAACATTGAAACAGCAGAGGTTCAGATTTACGAGGAATTGGTCGAATTTTTAACAAATGAAACTTTAAAATGGTGATCGTCTCACAGAATTTTTGCTAAAAGGTAGCATCAGTCGTCTCTATCCTGGACTGTAGAGAATCGTTAAATTTTTTTTAATTGTCTTCCCTGCCTCCTAGTTTGTCGAGCGGGGATTCAGTGCTGTTATGGATCTTGTCACAAAAAGAAGAAATCGACTTGAAATTGCGCAACGAGGGTATTTGAGTCTTCATCTCACTAAAATTATTAAACCGAGCGTTAAGGAATTACTGTCTGAACCATTAAGTACATTCATCCCACTAACATAGTTGCTTGAATGTTTCGTTGACGTTACTTTTTAGTGTAAAGAATTATTTTGGATGTTTTTTTAATTATCTAATTAAGAATAAATTATTATTTTTAAGTATAGGTTTCTTTGTTGTATTTTTTTTCTTGATTAAACGTATTTATTTTGATCATAACAAATAGAATGTGATTACCTGCCGTGAGAAAATTATCGAGTTAATTTATTCTTTTTTAAAAAGCCAAACAAATTTAAAGCGTAAAAGTATTGCTTAAAAATTTTGTCTCTTATAACTCAACATCCGTCCCTCCGTCTCCATGCTCTAGTCTAAGTAACTAAGCGGGGAGTTGAAATGCTTTTTGCTTCTTAAGGGGGCGGCAACGTTAAAAAGGTTGAGAACCTATGGTTTAATATATTTCCAAACTTATCGGAATATTAAGCACATTTGAATACAATTAATAAAAATGCTTACGCAGTCAACAGAAGTAAAAAGGACCTGATTAATTCTCTACTTTCAGGGATTGATAGAAGTAAACTTCGGTACACTATAGTGGTGATCAAGAAAATGTAATGATATATTTTTATCTAACAAAAATTTTTTTTATTGTATAAGTTTTGCTGTCACTTGAACATTTCTGTTGTACTTTATGGAGCTTCAACTATTGAAAATCAGCATGAATTTTCCGGACTGCAAAATAATTTGAAACGTTTGCTTTTCTTAATTAAAGAAGTGTAAGCCTATTATTTGCTTGTAACGAATTATTTACTTGAATGCTTGAAAACGAACACAAAACCAAGCTTTTATCTTCCTGACCACGTGATTTCTTTCATCAATTCCCACTAAACAGAAAGTATCTGCTTTGTGAATGGCGATCAACGTTAGTCAAGTCAAATTATCATGCTGGTCACTTGACAAAAGCCCTCGAAATGTTACAATTGAATCAGGAGACAGACATGTTTATGATTAAATTGAGCGAAAAGAGGGTCGGAATGAGAGTGTGGTGAGAGTACCCCAGGGTGGTACTTGATTAAAGGGAAGATATTTTTTTTTAAATGTTAATAAATTATTAATGATTTTGTTATTTGAGAAGTTTTAAATATATTTTTATAAGCTAAGCCTTTCGTACTTAATTAATTTACAAATATTTTTGATTTGAATTTAATTAAAATGAAAGATTCAAATCAAAAATATTTGTAATAATTTGAATTAAAATGAATATCTACCGCATATTCCGGTATAGAAGTCGACCTTCCAATATCCCAAATTTTACGTAAATACTCCTGCTATGAATCTGGATATTCGTTGATCATGAAATATCAATGTGCTATACTAATTTCGACAAATAACTCTTTATCAATTTACGCTTTTCTCAAACTATTTTTATATGCAATTAATTTTTTCTTTTTATCTCTTAGCATATTTTTTTACGCATAAAGGCTTTTATTTTTAAAAACAATGCTTCAAATTACGTCCTGATTAAAAAAAAATAGAGTAAGAAAAGTTAAGATAATTTACTTAAGGGTATTTCAAAACTATGACAGAATGAAAACTTTTTAAGACATATTATGGAAGACGTAAAATATATTCTGTCAGATCATCATATATATCAGAACATAATCTGTCAGATCAGAACATATTTCATGCAGAATTCAATAAAGTTAACAGTGTCCTCATGAAAGGGTCCCTCTCTGCAATGGATTCTACTTCCTCCTCACTTGCAAACCTGTTAAAATAGTATCAGAATTAGAAATCTAATGGTGCGGGAATTTATTTTATTCTAAGCTACATACTCGAGAAACATTCTCAGTATTCTCATAGTACATCCTCAATAGTTTCTGTCATCATTTTAAGTGCAGTTCTCAGGAGTAATAAGAAAGGGATGTGCGGTTAAAAGTAACGCCTATTCTTAGCTGTAAAACGAAATCCATGCCATCCGAAATTACCTGCTGCTTCTCTCAGTAGCTCTAATGCGTGGCCGAATTATACGTATCACAGTCAGTGGCGGATCCAGCGTGTGGGGGGGGGGGTCATAGGGTCATGACCCCCCCTCCCAAAATTGAAAAAATTAATAAAAATAATCATTTTTTTAATAGTTTACAAAAGAAATAAAATATTTTAAAAATTATTTAAGGGGGCATATACACCTAGTAGGTCGGAAAAATCGATTTTTTTCCCATCTAATTATGTTCTTCGCTGTTTCAAGAATCATAATCTAAAAGATTAAAACGAAATTCGTCATAGTTTCATTATAAACATTAAAAATGTTGAAACGCGCCGAGCACTCCAAGCGCGCTTCTACTCAAAATCAAGAACGATTAGCCGGCATTATTAGACTCGCATTATTAAACATTCATCGAGAAATTGATTTGGATGTTGAAAAAATCATTGACAGATTTGCCAAAGTTTCTTAAAAAACGCATTACATTTATTATTAAAAGATTTTGAATACTTGAATTATTTATGTATTGTTCTATTGTTCATTATGAAAAAAATAAATGAGAAGACAAGCATTAAAAACCCCAGTTTTTTTTTCTCAAAAAAAAATATTTAAAGAAATTTTTCTTTATATTTACAAACAAATTAATTGTGGAGGGGATCTGAGTCTATGACCGGGATCATGGGTAAGAGCATATTCCATCTCTGCATATTTCTACACATCTATTCCAAGCAATTTTGTTTTCTTGCATAAATTTATTCACAACATTAAAGATATCTTCTCCTGTTGTGTGACCTAATAAAGGCTGACAAAATAAAAAGTCATCGTGAATTTCTTGATTTTTTTCGTATGTAACAAACGCCATAAGATTTGAACAATTCACAATAACAGTTGACTCATCGACTTGTAATGCATAATAACGACTTTGAGAAATATCAGATAATAACATCTGTTTCACATTATTAGACATATCAATAATTCGTCGATGAACTGTATTATTTGAGAGAGAAACGCTATCAAATTCTTGTTTCGCTTTTTCTCCTATGATTATTTCGGCCATTATCTTGGCTGCAGGCTTGATTAAAATTTCACCAATGGTTTCCGCTGCACTACATTTCGCAATTAATAGCGACACACGATAAGAAACTTCTAATATCTTTTTATTCTCACCTCCAGTTAAAGCCCGCATAACTTTTTGAGATTGATTCAAATCCTTAAGTTTATTTTTAAAAATATCTATCGATTTATCTTTGTAAATATTATGGTTTGTTTCAAAATGGCACTTTAAGTTGGATGGTTTCATGCTTTTGTTTGTGAGTTTTTCAAGACAAATGACGCAAAGTGGAATAGGTTCATTTTCATCTCCAGTCAATGAGAATCCACACTGAAGATATTCTTTGTCATACTTGCGAGTTTTCTTCACTTTCTTTTCCACAGGTTCTTTCAGTTGATTGCTACTATCATCATTACGTGTTGTAGATATGAACCAGCGATCCATTTTCTGTGTCAGGTATGAAAGTTATATTTTATAAAAATTATCAAAATAAGTAGAATTTATTACTTTAGGAGGCTTCGCCCCCTGCTCGCTGGCGCTCGCCAATCCCCGGAACTGCTTTCGCAGTTCATTTCGTATTGCTTCGCAATCCGATGCTCGCTTTGCTCGCGCATTGGATACGTTCTTAACGTCTAGCTTTTGTATACTTTTTTGAACACTGAAGTTCCGAAAACTTTAACTGTAGAAAATTATGAACCTGTGCATTTCAATATTAATTTGAAATTGCAAACAGTTCACATATTTTTCTTAATCACACTATTCTAAATTTCAGTTGTTGAGAAAAGTAACTTTTGTTTTAAAGTCTTTCTCACCAGAGGGCTAAAACCATGTGTTGTGAAACAAGATGAAGTAGTACTGAATGCCGG